AAATCCCTTCTTACATGTTAAAATAAAAGACCAGATAGACTAGACTAGATCAGATTTCAATTTCTTTCAATAATCAAGAACCAACAGGCATCTAGGTGTATCACAGAACTAAACCTTAAGATATTAAGAAGATTTTGGTCTTCTTAGACATTAAAAAATAAAAAAAATAACCCGTTGTGTTACAGAGAACCAAAATGAAAGAAAATTATGAAATCCCTTCTTACATATTACAAAAATAAAAGACCAGATAGACTAGACTAGATCAGATTTAAGATTTATCAACTTCAATAGACATCAGCTTTTTATATTCTGCAGTGAAAGTGGAAAGTCTTTCATTTTCTAAAGGTAGTTTGTATATATGAGTGCTTAGAAAGCGAAAGGTATTTTTCCACCCTAAACAAAAGTGACTACTTAAGGCCCAATGAGCTTTGATGAGAACATCAACTGCCCGCAGTGGTAAACAGCCTCTGGGTAGTTTGATTATGTGGCTATCTCCTAATACAACTGATAAGCTCTCAATTTTTTTTGCTGTGCCTGTTGCCAAAATGTACGGTTGCACAGCGCCTAGAGAATGTTCCCTTCTCAAATCCATACTTTGCTGAAGACTTCTTCCTTCCTGAAAAAGAAAAGATTTATTTTAGGGAAGTCTTTTGCTTAGAAGTCTTAAGGAGCCACAAAGAGCAAACATTGGGAGTGGTATTACTTACCCGGACAAGTTCGACAAAGTCATCAGGTATGGCTATTGGGTTCATGTTTTCCTCCCAATCATGTATCCTTTTTGAGCGGGGAAGGAATTTGGAGAGGATAAGAAGAGAATTGAGCACAGCTGAAAGACCCAGGAAAAAGAATTAATACAAACAATTTCTAGTAAGCTTAAGATGAGAGAATATAAATGAGACACTTACAATCACCAAATATACACCACTGTTGAGGAGGATACTTTTTAGGGTCCAATTTGGCCACCTGTAATAACCTTGGCACAAAATCCTGATAGTTCCTGATTAAGCTGTGTCCTTTTTCCTGCCCGTACAATTTCTCAAATTCATAATCAATCTAGAAAAAATTAAAGAGATCAAAAATAATTAAGATTATTTGAGACTCAAATCAAATGAGGCTTGAAAGATAACCCGCTAAGATGCCATCTAAAAGTTTATGAAAGGATACAGTATACAGTTGAGATTATACAAAGAGGATAGAGTGAAGTACATACCATTCTGCCTTCAAATGATTTTAAATGGGGAAATGCTTGCAGAATGAGGGTGGTGGGGCATCTGCGGTCTGCCATCAGTGCTCGTCTTTCCTCGTATGTGCTATTCATTAGTCTCTCTATTTGATTTCTTTCACTGTCATCAGGTACTATAAGACTTAAGTGTTTGGCCTTCAGTAATAAAAGATAAGAATTATTATTTCATTAAGACAAGGTAGATGTACGCCAGACCACGTCTCGCGTAACAGGCTTCGCGATACCTCACGAAACACTGTTACGCTGCGACGCGCCTGGCATACGTCTACCTTGGCCTGCGGCGCTGACACCCGAGTCGGGTAGTGGAAAAATGTACACAAAGGTACGGGCCTACGGCCCGTTGACGGCCTATCACCTCGACCCTATCACCTCGACTAAGCATGCATGCTTGCACATTTTTTCGCTTATTTTCGTCAAAAATACCCTCTAGCGCCTCAACGGTT